AGGTCGGATAGGAAAGAGTATCGAAGTCTGTGACATTGATAGTTAAGACGACCAATAGGAAACAACATTTGAAATGACATTGACAGTCAGGACGACTAATAAGAAACAACATTGGAGTACGTGACAGTGATACCTAGGATGACCATAAAATTAACCAGTAGTAATTAACCAATAGGTATTGATATTAGTTCTCTTAGAATATTGGAGGAATATCCCAAGATAGTCAAAATGTTTGTTAGCATTTTTAAGTGTTATGCAATAAAAGTCTACGTTACAAGACAAGCCCCCACTTTAAACCTTCAAGGACAAAGGAAAAGAGGAAGTCTGAGGAATAGATTATGCTGAGAAATAGAAGCAGACATGAGAAAGGATGAACAAAAGTTGGACAGAACTGGGAAGGTAGGCTTAGGACAGAGTAAGTTAGATAAAGCTGGCCGGCGGCCTATGCTCCGTTAAGAGTAACAGGAGTAAGTAAATAAAGTAAGTACTATAAAAGCAACATTTCAGTAGATTGATCAGAAAACATATTTTATGAAAAAAGCTAAAATTTCAAGCGATGATGAAACTGATGAGACAGGAATATCTTTTTTCGAACATTATTGTGTTACAAAAAAATCAAACAACAAGTTATTAGGAATATTAACAATAACTTATTTTCAATTAGAGTTATGGAGATTACTGTTTTCTTACATTTGAAACCATCAATCAATCATTGTTGTTAGACCACCATTAGAAACCTGGAAGAACTGGACTGCCGTTTCGTCCTGGTATGGGACTCATCAGTGGCAGTGCGCACCCACGACTCCTGCATCTCGCAGGGTTCAAACCCGGGACCTTCGATATTGTGCGAACACCAAACGTCCCATGCCAGGACGAAACGTCCATCCACTGCTTTCAGGTTTCTAATAGTGGTCTTACAATGATTGATTGATGATTTCAAATGTGTAATAACCTATGTATCTAGTATCAAGAAAGCTTATGAAAAAAGTCAAAACTGTCAAAACATACACATGAATAGTTACTTGTGCAATACAGTTGGTAGACCACTATATATACTACAACACGTTTGAAAGTTTAAGAAGAGTATAATACTAATCTGAAATAATTTTCTTGAGCATAAACACCGAAATATAATCCTACAATTAAAAGTAATCATGTATATGCTCCCGAGTGAACAACACAACTGGAGTGCGAATCTATACGAGTTAGCTGGTCTAAAGACCGGGGAATTGTGAATAATGTGGCATGAACTAGATGACACTATCAAGTATTGATTAAACTTTAAAAAAAAACACTCGATGACTTAGTATGATTATAATGACCTTTATATATCTATACCATCAAACAATCAGGCGTCAATGGCATATGACCCAATTCAATGTGTATCAATACAAGTTGACATATTTAACATAGATAGTATACATCAAAATAACAAGACAAAATTAGAAAATAGTGGTTCTGATAGTGAAAAACCAAACTTAGGGGATGCAGTTCAAAAGGAACAAATGGGCACGGAGAATCAAAAAACCTAAAACAAAGTATGCTAAATTTAAGATTTTATGGAAAATAAGGAATGCATGTATTATTGACCCTGCGTGGTTCACCAATTGGTGTGTTTACCGTATACAGTCAATGCTTCGAAGACTGGTGAGCAATAAAATCGGCCAATGATAGACAGATTATGGTTACTAAAGTGTTATAAATATGACATATGTTTGTAGAAGCCAAACACGGGTTGCTTATATTTAGGATGATATATATATATATATATATATATATATATATATAGACATCAACTCACTCACATTTAGGAACTATGAAATACAAGCTTAATGGACAACATCTTTGATCTCTGCATTCTATAAGAATAGTCTAATCATTGATACAGAACAGACTAGTATTTTGCATTTCGAGAACGCATAGCCTTGCACTGTCACTCAGTCTCCAAGGGACCAGTCATACACAATGAGACGATATCGTCTAAGTACGGTGAAATCGCTTGTGATTAACAACAAACCAACACTTTGGTCAATGCATGTTAAACAGCCACTTCTTATTAGGACTCTCAACCGCTAAATTCACGTGATAAAAACACCAAAATCGGAATCCAAAAACTTGGAGTCAATTTCTAAATTCTTACTAGTCTATGATTCTTTAGCTTCTTTGAATCTAGACACCATGACCAGTCTCCACCACACAATAAATACATAATCAAGTAAAAAAGTGGCTGCAGATAGGAAAAAATAATTAATAAACCGAGAATAAATTAAGGAGAGATAGATCATATAACAGCAATTAACAGGTCAAACGGAAGTTTATTATTATTATTAAAATAAATATAGATATGTAATAATTTAGTTACTGGATAATTGCACACTAAGAGTATACATAACAATCGAAGTTACCATCCCCTAAACAATCGTTCTGATATGATACTTTTCAATAGAGTATACGTACAATCGACGAGTACATTTTTTTAAACATCTCACACATATATTCAGCAACCATAGATTTCCTCGATCGTATGGACTTCATTAGAATCAATGAAAAGTGAACTGAGCCATGTCAGTAGGTGTAAACTACCGAGTAGGGGTCCGCGAGTCAGTAGTAACCGATGTTTAAAGACTCTCAATGATATGTCTGAAAGTCGTTTGCAATGGCGCAGGTGCATCCATTCCTTGTGTTCTATGGAATTCGAGTTTTCGGTATTTCTCATCATCGTTATCTTTCTAAATTTATCTCACTTCTTGAATAATATCTTCGAACCCTAATCTTCACAATTATCGCTAATACTTCTACTATCTCTACTATTAAGGGATTCGAAGTGACAATTACATCTCTGTGCTAATGTGGTATGGCAACTTGAACTGATGTATATAAGTACAAAGTTCTACGTTGCACCTGACTGACATAGAATAAAATTACAAAAATTCAAATAAACATTTTGTTACTAGACCTGACTCTTATATCCCGGATTCTTACTGTGATAGTTTTGTTGATCAATTATTTAGCATAGTCTCTCACCTCCCAAATAAGCCGAAACCTCAAATACAAATGGTGAAGTTTATTAGAATATTGTGAAACACCGAGACATTGTTTATCACTATTACTCTATCTCGAGAAACTAACTAAAGCTGAATGCCTACTAGTGTTTGTAGTTGAAGAAGTTACGAAAATGGTAATGTTTTCCCGCGATGCGGTGGCGTATAATCCTCCTGACTGCACAACCCCCATAATGCTAAGCGATACCTGCCTTCAAGTATGTGGTATGCTTAAGGTCAGTTGTCAAGTCATTCGTCTCAAACAAAAACCCGATAAGTCAACAAACCTCTTCTTGTTCACATTTGGCTGCTGTAACGACACTCCTTGAAGGCAATATCACCGAACCGTAATCTTTCTGACTAGTGCTTACACTTCGACTATATCCACCACAGTCGGGTTTTAATTGACGCTTCGATAACTCTCTGCTATTATGGTATACCAACTTGAACTAAACGTACGTACGTAACAAGTTCTACAATATATATATCCGACTGAATAAAATGACAAAGTTAGGCCGAATATTGTTGGGGACGTTAGATCCCAAAAACTCACTTGGGAAGGGTCCTAATTGTTGATCTTTTCCCATGTCTTCGCGTATAAGTCGGTAACTTGACCTTGAGCTTACATGTTCCACTCGGAAAATCCTTAATTGTCATTGGTTGATGTATGCTATTTTGTGGCTCTCCCAGGAATGTTTCTATCATGTATAAATAAACTCGATTTGTCTGCTTGTCAACCTCATATTTTCTAGATACCAACCAGTAGAATACACTTTCTATACCTTATCAAGACTTCTTTTTCCTCTACTTAGTGTGGAGCATTAGGACACTCAGATTCGAATAGCCTATCGTATCACTCACTCCATCATTTGTCTTCGCTCTCGTTTATCGACTACTACTAAGGTGAACTCGTAATAGCAATCAAGCATATCGACTGGATTATGAAGACGTCAACATCTGGAGGGAAGCACGGTATCAACTGGACAGTTAGGACGCAGCTGGACGATCTGGACTTCGCAGATGACCTGGCTCTTCTATCTCACACGCAATAACAAATGCAAGATAAGACGATCAGTGTAGCAACAGCCTCTGCAGCAGTAGGTCTCAACATACATAAAGGAAAAAGCGAAATTCTCCGATGCAACACAACATGCACCAACCAAATCACTCTTGATCGAGATGCCTTAGAGGACGTTAACACCTTTACATATCTTGGCAGCATCATCGACAACCAAGGTGGATCCGATGCAGATGTGAGGGTGCGGATTGACAAAGCAAGGACTGCATTTCTACAGTTGAAAAATATCTGGAACTCCAATCAACTTTCAAACAAAACCAAAATCAGGATTTTCAATACAAATGTCAACACAGTTCTACTGTATGGAGCGGAAGCTTGGAGAACTACCAAAGCCATCATCCAGAAGATACAAGTGTTTATTAACAGTTGTCTACGCAAAATACTTCGGATTCGTTGTCCAGACACTATCAGCAATAACGTACTGTGGGAGAGAACAAACCAGATTCCAGTGGAGGAGGAAATCAGGAAGAAGTGGTGGAGTTGGTGGATAGGACACACATTGCGGAAAGCACCTAACTGCGTCACAAGACAATCCCTCACATGGGACCCTCAAGGCAAAAGGAAAAGAGGAAGGCCAAAGAATACAATACGCCGAGAAATAGAGAATGATATGAGAGGAATGAACAAACATTGGACAGAACTGGAGAAGGAAGCCCAGTACAGACAGAGTTGGTTGGAGAAAACTGGTGGGCGGCCTATGCTCCATTAGGGGTAACAGGCGTAAGTAAGTAAGTATATCAATTGGTGACGAGCATAACACAAGAAAAACAAAAACTACCATTTATTTATATTTACTTGCATTTATTGTATTTTTTTTCTTGCAAAAAAAGAAAAATACAGAGAAGAAGTGACTTTTATATTGACTGGAAAAATATAGACAGATATATATATATATATATCAAGTATATGTTTAAATGCAAATTCCACAGTGTTGTTGTTTGTATTTCTATGCACATTATATAATAAATACATTTACAGTTTAAAAATAGAGATTAATTAAATCGCTACGTTTATTATTATTATTATCGATTATCATTGATTATTATTGATTATTGATTATTATTACTGATTATGATTGAAATAAGAGAGGTAAGAGAATTAAAAAAAAAAGAAACAGAAGAAAAAGGGGGGAAATTATTAAATTTATTACACAATGAAAAAAAAAATAGAACAAAATGCAAACAAACGAACCAACCAGTTAACCAACTAATCAACTAACCAATCAATCAAGCACCTACCAGTTGCTGTTGTTGTTCTTTTTGTTGTCATCGTCGTGGTCGTCTTCAAATATTTTATACAATAGATATAAATAAATAAATATAAATATTCAATATTTTCACTAGTGTATAAAATATTCAACATATTGAACAAAATTGGCGGGAAGCGGAGGAGGAGGAGCAGGAGATATGTGGTATATCACAAAAAATTCGCTTTCTCTCTCTTAATCATCATCATCATTGTTAGTAGTACTAGTAGTAGAATTTAAAAGTCTTTATCTTCTAAAAAACTATAATGAAACATAAATTCTTCTTTTTTCCGCTGTCGCATTGTTCTAAAATCATAATAAATATATGAACCAGATTCATATTCATCAGTGATTTGTTTCGGTTCTTCATGTCGTTGAAACCACATCATAAATTTCGTGTGAAAACGCCATGACATACGTTTCAATGCTTTGGCAGCAAAATATTGTGCTTTAGTGCCTTCAAAATAATAGAATATAAAAAATAATGTTTGTGCATCTAATTTCATGTAGTATTCTTCATTATCTGTACCGATCAATGGTTCACGTGGATAATAACTTGGACAATTCACTGGATTTTTACAAATAATCATACGTGATTTCTCTGTGTCACATGAATGCGGCAATCGACGATAACCACTTTCTAATGCTTGCAATTGTAAAAGAAGCTAAACAAACAGAAAAAACAAAATTAAAGACATTGTAACTGTTCGTGATAAGTTTGAGAAAAAGAAAAAATAATGAACCATTCATGTTAGTGGGACATAGATGAAATTAAAGCATGACTACGTCGCTACGCGCTGATTGGCTAATTTCCTATCCAATCAGCGCCCGATCGAGTCTTGGAGAATAAGGTAGAAAATTCTTGTATTGTTAGCTGCGTGCTGATTGGCTAAATCTAATCTAGTCGATCACGTGAATTACAATCCAGAAGCTTCTCATGTAAATGCTATAAATAAACTAACGTTGTATCTATTTTTGCTTTCGCCTTCGCCATCACCTTTGGCTTCTTATTTCCATTTAACCTTGCTATTTGGAATATAATTTTTTCCTGTTCAACCGTGTTTTTGATTCTTTGGAACTTGTCCAGTGTATTGTGGTCAGAGAATACTAAGCAATAGGATTTAGCTGGGAATTATTTAAGCAAGCGTTACAACAATTCAAAAAAAACGTGTAATCAATAAATATCAAAATGTGATCATTATACAATCAACTAGTGACTTATATGATCGATCATATATGTATGTAGATGAATATTGTCATAATGGTTATAGTACAATTTATTTTATTCTCTTTCTTTTTTTAATAGCTTTCAATTTTAACATAGAGAAGTGACAATGACGAGAAGAAAATCTAGGAGCTATTGAAATGCGGTATGAATAGCAACTTCGGGAATAAGCAAAATACAACAACACCGTATATAAGACAAGAAAATTTAAACGTTCAAATATGACATTGCTGTATTAGATAAAAGCGATATCCTTACAAAAGCATTTCCAAGAACGCCACAGAATGCCTATGTACAACTGAGAGTTCCATAATATGGCCATGCGTGCATAGCCACTGCCAGGAAAGTCCTACTCTCTGCTTCCTCGTGGCGGGGGGAGTACGGTTTACAAATTTGAAAGTATGGAAAGCAAATGTTCAGTGCTTTGACCACGTTGGTGCGTACGAAGGATCCATCAAGAGAAGTTATAAAAACCCTGATTTCAAACTAATGATGCACATGCGCTTCAAGATCATGCAGGAACGAAGAGCCCATCCACCTAATATTGTTCAGAGTCTACCATGGGATTGCATCTCTTGTCGTTGTTTCAATGTCTTGTGGATTAGACTTGTAGGCTAAAGTTTCAGGAAGTGGCTTCAGTTTGGGCAGTCGGGCAGTATACTAGTTTAAACACAAATCTAATAATTTGTATGGCGCATAAGCATTTTAGGTGCCCCTTCGTATTGGTAATTATATGTTTAAATCAAACAAAATAAATTCCTTAGAACATAAACCAATTTCATTGAAAGAGAGCATGAAAAAGTAGGGAGAACATAGTTGAACGGTTAGTGACGGAAAGTTGAGATGGAAACGTAAGAATTCGAAATTCCAGAACAGAAAAAAACTACGGTATTTACAACACTTTTACATCAATATCAATATCAGTCAGTTACAACGTGGAACTTCGTACGTAAGTGAATCAGTTCAGGTTGCCATACAGAATTAGCACAAAGACGCAACTGTCAGTTCAAATCCCATAGTGTTGGAGATAGTAGAAGAATTACTGGTAGTGGAGAAGTTTAGGGGTCGAAGGTATGATTCCAGAAGTGTAGTTCAGTTAGATAACATTAGAAGGGGTAAGACAAAGATTATGAAGAATTCTGAAGATTAGAATTTGAGAGAACACAATGAACGAATGCACCTGCTCCATTTCAAACGATTTAGAGCCATGTCGTTCAAGGTCTCTAACCATTGATGACTTTCATCTCGCGGACCTCAACCAGTTAGCCTGCACCTAACAACATGACTCAGTCCATTTGTCAGTGACTTCATGGATTTGTGCCATGTTTTGGTATGGTCACACCTACCTTTTTTCCAAATTACTCCTACACCACAAAATATAGCTTGTCGCGGCAGTTGGTGGTTAGGCATACGTAACACATGTTCCAACCACCTCAACTGATGAAGTTTCAGTACTTCATCTATTGACCAGCCATCCTTACCTAGCACCCGTTTCCCAACGACAGCATTACTTACTCGGTTGTTCCAGGAAACACGAGCAATGCTTCGAAGACATATATACTCGAATACTATTGACCTACGGCCATGTTTCGCAGCCATAAAGTAGGACAGAGCGAACTACTGCGCAGTACATTATTGCAAATAAATAACTAGTAAATTTATCGTTATCTATCATTATCTGCCTGTTAGTTTCCCAAAATTTTTGTAACTCTCAGCAACCATGAACAACTGGTTTATTCACTGGACTATAAGCTATACTCATATTTGAAGGCTAATTAGATTCATGAAATGTTGCGAAAAGTGCACTTGTGATACAAATGAGATCATATATCATATGTAACAGTCTTCTTTATATTGACTGCTACAGATCTGAAACATAATTCCTTGAAAGTAGCTATCTGTAAGAAGTATATTCATAGAATTCCTTGCACATTTTTCCGAATACTGCTGAAGTTAAGCGAGAGTTCTTAACTAAAAATGGTGATCCAATTTATCGAGGGTGTAACTAAGCTACATACTACACGTACTGTCCCTAACAAGCTAATTATTATGGGAGTAGCTTAAAAGAAAAATTCCTACTATGATTGACATTGTAAATACGATCTTGTGATATTTGCTCATAAATATCAATACACCTTTGTGTTTATGGCTAGGTGGTCTTTTGTGTTAGAAATTTATTGAGGCGTTGACACAGCGGTTATGGAGTTCGACTTTTACCAAGTCACAGATTCAACCCGCCTCTAACGACTTCGGTTCGGGTTAATAGGTAAGATCATCAAGCAGTAGCCATTAAGTTATTTATCTAAACTTTTCCCTGGAAAATGAATTCATAATTGGATGAAAGCACGAACATAAATTTACATAGCTATCAGCCACCGATGGTGATGTTCGACAGAGGACTGTCGCTCGTTCTGGGGCACATGTCTGGATTCTGACCATACCCTAGTGCGAGCTCGGATTTGTTTGCACCTTACCGGATGTAGGAAAGACACCGCAAGGAAACCTCTTAGGGTTCTACTTAATGATATCATAGCTAAGAATATATTTCAGGAGCAACTAGGAAGACAGTTAGGCGACCATGTAAGTGATTCCCATCCGCAAGCAGGTTGGAATGATATCGAAAAGACTTTGGAAACAGCAGTGATATCTGCTAGTAAGGTAAACCATAAGGCTAGAATGAAGCCATGGAATTCTGTAGCATCCACCGATCTGATGGATGCCCGAAAACTCATCCCACCTGGCTCTGAACAAGACGAAGAGCAAAGTCAGCTTAAGCGCGGGCTGATAAAAAGCCTACGCAATGATTGCGAACAGTGGTGGGTGATGGAAAAGGCAGCGGCGATCGGCAACAGTAGACAACTTTTCCGACTTATCAAGGAAACCGGTATTAGGTAAAAATGTGAGTGAGACCATTTCGGAAAAGGATGGTCTTATTATCCATTCTCAAAAGGAGATTGGACCGATGGGCAGGACACTTTAGGGATCAGTTCAACTGGTCTTGAGCCACGCTTCGGTTAACTAGGATCTCCAGTCATCCTGAATGGCAAATCGAAGTAAGTCCCCCTAGTCTTTATGGAGTTGAGAAAGCGTCAGGAAATCTGAAGCGAGGTAGAGCAGCAGGTCCCGATAGACTAACCACTGAGATTTTTAGGGATGGTGTTCAGTTTTAGCAGCTAGGTTGACTGAGATCTTAGGTAAAATCTGTGAACTTGGCGTAATCCCATCTGACTGATCTCAGTCGCTAATTGTCCCAATCTACAAGAAAGGACAAAAGTCCTCTTGTGACAATCACAGAGGAATAAGTCTAACTAATATAGTTTCTAAATTGTTAACCTCGATTATACTTAGACGTCTAACTAGAGCTCGTGAAGAGCAGACTAGAGAAAACAAGGCTGGTTTTCGACCTGGACGTGGTTGTATAGACCACATCTTCACACTACGACAGGTCCTGGAACACAGACACACATTTAGGCGTCCTACAATAGTTGTGTTCCTGGACCTAAAAGCGGCATTCGACTCAGTGGATCGTGAGGTTCTGTGGCAGTGTCTGTCATTAAGAGGTGCACCAAAGAGGTACATAAGACTTATACAGGCCATCGACTAGAACACTACCGGTCGAGTGAGAGCTTACAGCGAAATGTCATCGGAATTGGTTACTTCAAGTGGTGTATGTCAGGGTTGCCGTAGATATGCTTTGAGAGTTAAATTTATCTTTATCTGACTTTACAGGTGTGGACCGTTTACCAGGAGATACGCTTGCTGACTTAGAGTATTCTGATGACATAGTCCTATTCGGTGAAGACGCTGACAAAATGCAGTCTGCTGACTACCCTAAGCAACAATCTAAGCGTATCCGGGATGCGATTCTCCCCATCGAAATGCAAAATGTTGCTTCAGGATTGGGTTGCATCGGTACCTGATAGGGAGTGAAGTAGTCGAGCGTATAGACCGCTTCACTTATCTCGAGAGTTTCATCAGTGCTGATGTCTTGGTGTCTGACGAAATGTCAGCATGAATACAGAAGGCTCGACTAGCTTTTGCCAACTTGGGTCACCTATGGTGTAGGAGAGATATCCGTTTGCTGACCAAAGGACGAAAGTACTGAGCAGTAGTTCGCTCTATCCTACTTTATGGCTGCGAAACATGGCCGTAGGTCAATAGTATTCGAGTATATATGTCTTCGAAGCATTGCTCGTGTTTCCTGGAACAACCGAGTAAGTAATGCTGTCGTTGGGAAACGGGTGCTAGGTAAGGATGGCTGGTCAATAGATGAAGTACTGAAACTTCATCAGTTGAGGTGGTTGGAACATGTGTTACGTATGCCTAACCACCAACTGCCGCGACAAGCTATATTTTGTGGTGTAGGAGTAATTTGGAAAAAAGGTAGGTGTGACCATACCAAAACATGGCACAAATCCATGAAGTCACTGACAAATGGACTGAGTCATGTTGTTAGGTGCAGGCTAACTGGTTGAGGTCCGCGAGATGAAAGTCATCAATGGTTAGAGACCTTGAACGACATGGCTCTAAATCGTTTGAAATGGAGCAGGTGCATTCGTTCATTGTGTTCTCTCAAATTCTAATCTTCAGAATTCTTCATAATCTTTGTCTTACCCCTTCTAATGTTATCTAACTGAACTACACTTCTGGAATCATACCTTCGACCCCTAAACTTCTCCACTACCAGTAATTCTTCTACTATCTCCAACACTATGGGATTTGAACTGACAGTTGCGTCTTTGTGCTAATTCTGTATGGCAACCTGAACTGATTCACTTGCGTACGAAGTATTACGTTATAACTGAGTGACTGACTGACGAAAATAAATATACCTTTATAGGAAACATTGAATGAAAAATTTCAGTGAAAAACTCGAATAGCTTAAAGATACATACCCCCAACTGCTAATAAGCCACAAACCTATATGAGAAAATTAAGTATAAAACATTCCACTATCTGAATAGAAATATCAGACAGAAAATACATTGTACCGCAATAGAATGGGTAATATTTATGACCTTAATTAATCGAGATTATTCTCATCACAGTAATATTTTAAGAAATTTCAAAACATTATCTTTACAAGAATAAGGCTTGTGGTAATATCATCAACTTTATGGCAATGAAAATTCATGAACACAGATAGGGATAAGGTTAACCCAAGAATTGAAATTCTAAATCCACATACATACTTTATTTTACTAGAGTACAACCTTATTACAGTTAGATTAAAACAGAGAAATGATCAATTTTGCTTAAATTGCACCAGTGTACATTTTTAACTAAATTGATTTTTTTTACTATGAACTAACCTGAGAACTAAGCACTCAATCAAAAAAAAAGGTTGAGACGATTTCTTTCTCTATTACTTTATCATACAAATACATACATACATACATACATACATAAACACACAGACACACACACACACGCACACAAAATAATTATAGGTGACAGCAATTTCTATTTTGATCTGAAGTCATTTGATCGACTGATATTTATTTACTATGCTTAATAAAATGAATAAGTAGTTTAGCTTTATGCAGTTAACAAGATGATTTCATTTTAGTAAAGCGCATAAATTTTAATTATGTTTTATTCATATATATATTAAAAGTTGGATAGTTGAGTATTATTAATCTGCCCCTTTAGAAATATACAAGTTTACATGCAGTTGGGATAGAATCGTGTACTTTGTGTGCGAAGATTCACTGATGCTTCCAAATTATGCGGAGCTACGTATTAGTTGAAAACAAAAGTTTCAACAAACAAAACTCTAGTTATACCATCACATCTCAGCAGATAAGCGGTAATAAACACAGTGTCACATTAATAACCTGAAAGGTGAGACTGTGAAAGTTTTTAGATGTCTGACTTTTAGCCAGTAATTTAAAGTTTGAACTCAGTTTAGCCTAGTATAATAACTGAGTGACTGAAGTTGCGGAATGTGTAAGCATTTAATTAGGACACACTGGTTGAATTCACTAAATTTGACCTCCTACGAGTAAGTAGAGGATATATTCTATTAATAGGTCCCAAACTAGGACTAAACAGCTATCTATCCAGTTCTTATCTGATGGAAATTTTGTAGCAAAAACTGTCTTTAAATTAAAGAACACGACTAAATATACATATACATATCACAGCTTTCTATGAAAGAAGGTTTAATTAAAGTTTACTCAAGAACATACCGGTATTCTAATAAAAGATAACTTGTAAAACTATTTTAGGAATGGTGGTTATTCACCAGTGATTTTTCACCCCTGAAAGGACTTGTAATATTACAATGTAGTATTACAATGTATATACTATGTTTGGAAGTCTAGCGTACTGTCGAAAAGTACTTCACAATTAATAAATTTCGAATGATTTGATCATAGGATGTCGATAATTTAGGACTTGTACATTATCAGTGAATCCTAACTGTGACATTTAGGTAAAGGAACGTTAGCCTCATGGTTTCACTGCAGTATCCTTTTATCAATAATATAAGAGGAAATTTTAAAGGACAACTAAAACTGAAACTATGATTTACAGCATGAAATAGATTATTGGAAATAAATCGTCTTCATTATTATCATGATTTTCACCTGTGTACACTGACAAAAACCTAAGTATGTGAAATGGAATATGGAATTTTATGGTTGTACAACCATGTCCATGTTCCAAACCATAGAAAATATCAAGTAAAGATTAGTATATCAACGGTAACTATTCTAATGAAAGCTGACATCCCCCCACCAATACGTTTCTACAAATAGTTACTTTTCTATTTTATGAACTATAAACAAATTTAATACGGAAAGAAATTTTGATTGCATGACTTCTGATTGTAGTTATTCGCTAAGAAAAAATAGAGAAATCAATGAGATCTTTGGCTGGTAGTTAAAAAACTTTTAGGGACTTTTATGGCATCACAAGATGCCATTCTTGAGATAGTAGACTTGTAATGTCTGGCAGCAAAAGATGGGGTAAGATCAAGAAACGAAGAGTTAGAACACAATGGAATTTGTATGAAACGCATGAATAGTGACAATGGATTGATGTTGTTTGCAACAGGAACAGTTCAGTTCGATATGATGAACTGATATTTTGCAAATTAACGATTTACGGTATGGTTTTCCAATTTTACTGAGTAACTCTGTAATTTTCGTTAAATACAATCCGGTCACCCCATCTGAGTTCTCGTTCACTACAGACTGATTGAGTATAGTGAACAGTAGAACTGCATTTTTTTTTAAGAAATTAGTAACCTGTACTCTCTGGGTTCTTTTTTATTTTGATACAACAATATTTTGACAGATTGAATCACTACTACACAATCACACAAGGTTATTTAAAACTAAATCAATACAATAGCGTAAACAAAAATGTATCAAAAGGCCAGGCAAGATAATATGAAGAATGGACAAATAGACTTACTTCTTGTGGTACAGCTCCTTTAGGTTTGTCCAAATTTCTGTTACGGAAAGGAGCGGCAGCATCACGCGGATGCATATGAGCATGAACAGGACTATTCTGGTGATTTTTTAACTGTTGAGAATGTAACGATGGTTGTATACCGGACAATTGGCTGTCTAGTCCTAAATAGGAAGGTTGGATTTGAGGATTGGTTGTAGGTGTGATAGTTGAAGAAAGTGGCAATGAAATACCAGATGTTGAATGAAATTTATTAGACAAGGAAATTTCAGAAAGTGGAGGGTCCATAACAATATTAGAACCTGCACGTCCCAAAGATGGATGTTGAGAGCAAGCTAGTAGAGATAATAATTGTTTATCCTGGGAAGCAGCTAACATAGCCGTTGAATATAGGCTGGGAGGAGTATGATTTACGTTTTCAGAGCTTACGTCTGTAGAAGAGGAAAGTACCGAACTGTTGTGCACATTAGTAGTAACACCTGAAGTTTTGCTAACTTCGGATGACTTAACTCGAACTGGGATAGGTGATGAAGAATTCACTGAGTTAGGAACACACGTTGGTTGACACGGTGCCAGTAATTCTTCTCGACTATTGATTACAGAGGGCTCCTCTTTTACAAGAGAGGTAGAAAATGCAAGACTAGGTGCTGTAGAAGTTGGATTTGTTCCTGAAACAGACGAGAAAGGTGACAATGAATTGTTATCACCATTAGGACCAATTTTTAATTGTGACTGTAACTGAGGATTTGATGGAACTGAATTAGAACTGTCATTATGTTTTTGATTGGTTTCATTCTTCTGGCTTCGAGAAAGATCATCAACAACAACTTGGCAATCTGGGGTATTAGAAGGTTTGGTCGGGCCTAATTCAGTCACTGTTATACTGTTTATTGACGGGTGACTAGTTGCGTTCAACTTTCCAGATTTATTAGGAGTACCGGCAACAACTTGGGACATAAGAGCTGGGGCAGTTTGATTAACTGAAGCAGTAGATTTTTGTTTACCTGAAAGACCTGTATTTGAAGATTTCATAGGTGTACTAGTAGAAGAAGCAGATACATGTGGTAATAAACAAACTTTATCATCACTTTTAGTACGTTCTCTGGAAGACGCATTTGACGAAGCTGAAGAACCAGGATGAGTGACAGATGAATCTGTATTATTTGATGCAGTTGTATGAGTTGAGGTTGACGAGCCTGCATCATCACTTCCTCCTCGTTGGCTCACCAACGTTGTGCCAGTGGTAGTAATTACACCATTTAGATCATGCTCTTGATTTCCTGTCGCAGCGCCTGACGCTGCAGTGATTCCAGTAGTATCGCCTAACTCATCTAAACATAAATCATCATAAATATTCTTAAAATCAAACATAGACTGATTATCACTACAATCGATCACATATTCAATAGATTCTTGAATAGATCTAACTTTTGTACAATCTAATCGTTCATTATCTAATAAACGCATAATAGCTTCAAGTTTTTCAACATGAAAACAACACATTTCTAAACGTTGACGTTTTTCATCAATTGCTGAAGCTGTTTCTTTATCGATTCGTTTCTTTTTAGTATTATTTGATAAGCTTTCAATTTCAAATTCATATTTTTCTGTTTGTGTATTCAATGAACTGATACATTGTTTTAACCAATCATCTAATTCTTCTTTTTCTTTTTGTAATGGATCTTTTTTAGCTTCAGTCGATAACAAGCCTTCTTTTGAATAAGCTTTAGTTTTTGTTTCTTTTTCAATTACTTTAAATCGTTCCATATCTTGTTCAATTTCTTTACGTGCTTCTAATAATGGTCGTTTATCTTTTACTTCACTAGCCGTAATCCATGTCTTAATTTGATCTCTTAATCTTTGAAGTTTTTTAATTTCTTTTTTTAAATCACCTTCAAATTTTTCTTTTTGAGTTGGATTATTAGTACTTTCAAATTTATCAAGTATTTCCTAGAGTTCATTGAGAAAAGGAAATGAATGATAATATGCTACAATGGTTGATGAATAAAATTATCAACTTTTTGTTACAACTTCTAGAACTTTAGTATAAATTAAGTTGTAAATATGCCAACAAGACCAAAAAGAATCAGTGGAAAATTACCGGATATCTATTAAGTGAACCTTGATGAGCCTCTAAACTAACTGAGTCTCTTGAAATTAATACTCACATTCGACCTTTATGTTTGTGTTTAGGAGACATGGCATGTACACAGTACGTAAGATCTGTCGTCTAGTTTGGCATAAGCCCCAAAATGTAGTTTGCATTGTGGATGCAAGATAAAATGAATTACCTTTTAAGCTTGAAGAATTATCACTGATTGCATATCCAAAAGAGGATTACACCAAAGAAGAATGGTTAACGACAGGAGATATATTAACAAATAACTTAGGGGCGTTTAATTAGAAACAAGATTGACTTATGTATTATTAGTGGTGTACGGGTGACTGACACTTATTAATCCTCATAGCGTAAACGGATATGTCTAATATGAAAGAGTCCTAAAACTCTGGTGGATGTTTTTGGATGTGCCGTATTTTTCACGTGAAGAGCTGATATTGTACAAAACGACAAGTTTTTGGAAGAGAATGCAGGTACATCTCTATGTACTTAGTGAAAATTCTCAACTATATCCGAGAAATACGTGACTGAATAACCATACAAACCACATGCATTTTAGCTGAAGCACATAAATATAGCTAGACATAGACCATTATCAAACACAGTCATGGATAGTGGTGTTTATTACTGCGTTCATTAATCAGTCATTGTCAGACTACTATTAGAAACCTGGAAGTACTAGACGGCATTTTCGTCCTGATATGGGACTCGTAAGCAGTGCGCATCCACGACTCCAGCTACTAGCAGGATCCAAAGCTTTGGACTTTCAATCTTGCGCATGAAAGCCTGACTTTTGGACAACTGGGGCGGCATTTAACGGTGTTAATGTATAACTCTGATCCATCTAGGGATTCTCCCTAACTTCACCTATTGTCTTCGGTAGTTACTGCATACACCCGAAAGGGTTGAGCTCCAGTGGTCACGTCTTCTTACTAAAACTCCGAGAATTTCCTCGCGAAGCAATTCATTAGTGAACGCCAGCAGGTTTCTAATGGTGATCTAACAATGACTGATGCATGATCTCAGTAATAAACAATATCTTATGTCAAAAATAACTATTGTCTGAATGCCTAAGTTTTTAATAACGCTAACTATACAGAGTTGAATAAACTACTAAGTGGTTTTCCAAATAATTGGTGTTTTATGTGTAATACTTAGTAAACAAATAGTTAACGACAATATAATCACTACTACTGTATAAATGGAGATACCTATTCAGCTCTGATAGCACTCGAATTTTATACTGCTATTAATTGGTATATTTTATCAGCTTAATTAAAGTGAAATGACTCCAAAACCAGTTTTTTACCATAATTATTATGCGAACAATGAACGCGATATGAAAAAAATTATGGTTGTATTAACATTTAGAACAACACAATGCTCTGATGTATGTTGGTTTTAGCATGGCAATAATTGTTATGCATGAATCTTGTTTGTATTTGCATGTACTGAAAGCCTGGTTGTCTAAAGCACTTAGTATTCATGACTCATAAGTAACAGACTGACGAATTCAAAATCTATTTACAAGAGATAATTATAGACGTATATGGAAGGTCCGTACCATCGTTATAATTAAGAACAGAAAACGTAAGAACTTTCAGACACAAAATTTTACTGTCACTAATCATATTTCCCAGCTAAATGCGTCTTTGCTAGTAACCATGCTAAACTTCACATTTTATGAATTTGCGTTTTGGTGATTTTATTTGTTTTGGTGGAGGCTGAAGCTTATCAAAGTCACCGGAAATATATAAACCAGAGAAACCAGGAACTTGTGATTTTTCTCCTTACTTTTATACGAACAAATAAGGATAAATATACAGATGATACCTAATACTGGAGTAAATGAAGTACCACAAGCAGACCAGAGTAACCTGGGAAACACTATACATCAAAAATTTATACTACATTAAGCAGCTGTTCAATAGCAGGCTACAATCAAGTAAATATTCGAGCATGTTACCTGTTTCCTTGACAATCTTTAGAACTATTCTACATAGAATCTCCTTTAGACTAAACACTTAAGGTCTACTTAAGCCATGAAAACTGGCCTATACTCATAGATTCTCTATCTTATCACACTAATGCTAGTTGTAGGATTAACCGGTTACTGTGAGGTTAGTTGTGATTATTTGCAAGCGGTTATAGGGTAGTCACGCTTTTTACAGGTAAAGGGAAATCATCTAGTAAGTACATTTAGATGGTTCGAGAAAATTATTCCTCAATGAGAATGATTAATCTCACTAATATTGACTGATCAATGTGTATTGTTTATGAACTGCTTACAACTAATACTTTTCCAATTAATTGATACAACTAGTTGGATAGAGACAATACCTGGAACGCAGTCCTTCCTTCTTGTACTCGCTTAAGATTTCTTTCTATATCACTTTGGAGTTTTCTTTTGTCGGCCATCCTTCCACAATGTACAAACCAACCGCTTCATCGAATGAAGATAGATAAAGGAGATCGTTCAGAGATCAATCTTACAAAGGGATCTTAAATTATCTACTTTCGCTTCGTAATAAAAGAGAACATTGTTTTCCGTTGCTTCTTTTATTAACTCTTGTGTCATTTCAGAGCCGTTGGAAGGGTCTTTCCTAGTTGTCCATCGGTAGTGAAGAATACTGACCATCTGATGTTAAATGAACTAGACAAATATTCAAAAATGAGAAATAATCTACGGAAATCTTTAACGGAAAATGTCGATCGATATTATTTGGCTTTGTCTGTTACAGAAAGTTTTCAAAACAAGTTTTATATATGTTGTCGCTAATATCCCGTAACTTTTTCACGAGCTTGTAAAGACCATTTGATTCGTTTGGACTTGCTTCTTGCTGTTTCGCCACTGCTCCGGGTAGTTTGTAATATCCAGTTAACGGTTTTCTATCCACTCGTTTGTACGAATTATTGTTCCTTCTTATTTCGTACGTTTCCTGAATGAGTTTATCTCAGGGTAGTATAGAAATAATAACAGTGGCGACGAGCAAGTGTCGTAGGGAATGCGTTGTAAGATTGACTAAAGAAAGAGGATATGTTAAAATTCACAACTGATATCGTCAAGTTGTTTCGAGGTGATTGACATATATCAAATCGTGTGAGTAATATACGAAGGTGGAAATAAGTTTAATCCATCTTGAGCAATTTTGAACTCGATTCTCGCTTCTGGAGTTACGGACACGTGTTGATGATGAGTTAAATATTGAGACAGCATTCAAGTTCCTTCAGATTTTCACTGAAGGTTTAAAATCGATGGGTTCGTGAATTCAGTCAAATTTACGAACATTTACAACCAAATACTGACAAACACTAATTTCTTACTTTCAACTTTATTAATTGCAGTAATTATGACCTGATTAATTTCCTCACGTAACATAAAAGCATTTATGAACTTCAGCAGGTAGATTCAGTAACGAATAGTAGTATAAAAAAGTAAGGGAGAGCCAGACTATCATGACATTAGGATTTTTAAATTATTTGATCTACTCCTGGCATATTCCAGTGAACCCTTCATACTCTCCATTGGTATTCGTAATTCAGTATACGACTTTGAAAATCAGTTGAGGTATTTAGATAGGCCACAGCAACAAATAACCTCATGATAAAATCATGTTCTCATACGCCACTCATGTGGTGACTTGACGATAACATTAAAGTAGATGTTGCTGAATTCAGTTTCAAACTTCACATTAAGTGAATGAATATTTTTTCGTCATAATCAAATGACCTAGAATTGCTTAACCGATTTACAATTCGTTTCAAATGGTATGGGTAATAAATGTAGACAAAATTTACGCTAAAAATAGTATTGAGTTTTTAAAACACCCCTACCTTCTTTCTATGAATTACCTCCTGATAAACACGAAAGACAGTTATAATTATCAGTAAATAAATTGTCGTTTTCATATTTGTCTTTCCTCTACACGAACGACTTTTTACGTTCTTTTTGTTGACATTTCGCACAGAATAATTTGTAGTTATCGTTGTATCGTGGCAGCAGTTATTACCCGAAATTTTATAACCTAATAATCAGATATAACATTCAGTTACTTCCGAAATTTTACATTTCCCGTGAATAGATAGACCAGTCAAACGAATGGGGCTATAGGGAACGAAGAAAATTTAGTTTTGGTAATAAATAAAAATTACTTGTAGAGAAGTTTAAATATGTTTCTCTAAAGTGCGTGGCAGTAGCCGGTGAATAACGCATTAACATATGTATAGCACAACTGATATGGTACTGGAAATATAAATATGTTAATTCTGAGGTACATGTGTGGAGGTGCTGTAACTAAACGAATAGAAATATAACTACACACAAAAAGAATTCAGACCAGAATTCGCCAACCTAACCTGTATCGAGCTTTTCTATCTTTTTCTGTCCAATCGCTGCTCATTCTCTCCATATATGTTTCCCATCTTTTGAGTGATGTGTTCTTTGGTCTTGCTCTGTTTGAGATGGTTGAGAACATTTGTAGCTCAAGTGGATGATTGTGGTGGTGTTTCGTTCCTCCGAAAGATCCGGCTCAGAAATCGAAACACTACCACAATCTTCCTCTGTTCCTTTGGCCTTCAGGATTCCAAATGAGGACTTTTACTGCGACTCAAATGGATGCTTTCCTCAATGCGTTTCCAGTCTACCTCCAGCGCTTCTTCCTGATCTCTTACTCAGCTGGAATCTGGTTTGTTCTCTTCTACAGTAAGTTGTTGCTTACGGTGTCTGGCCAACGGATCGTGATTATTTCGAGTACACAAATGGTTATAAATCCTTGTATTTTGTTGATGAGAGCTTCCGTGGTTCTCAAAGTTTACGATCCATTCAGTATACGTGTCTTGACGTTTGTGAATTTAATATCGGTTGATAATTGTTTTTACTTCCATGTGTTCCTCAGTTGTAGAAATGTTGCCACTGCTTTGCCTATCTGTGTCTCCACATCTGCATCAGACCCACCTTGCTCATCAATGATGCTGCCGACATCAGTAAAGCGTTTAAATTTTCCAAAGCTTCTCAGTTAGATTTGATTTGGTTTGGACATGTTGTGTTGTATCAAATCATCCTGCTTATTCCTTTGTGTAGGTTGCGATAAACGGCTGCAGAAGCTGCCGCTACACTGGTCATCTTCCCCTGCATATGTCATAGTTTATTAGATAGTAGAGCTAGATCATCTGCGAGGTCCAGATCGTCCAGCCGCATCCGAGCTACACAATATATCCCATGGTTCCCCCCCCATATGTTGACCTCTTCATATTCCGGTCAACCACCAGAAGGAAAAGAAGTGGTGATAGTCAGTAACTTCGCCTGTAGTTATTCTTCACTTGGAATGAGTTTTTAAACTGTCCTCCATGTAGAGTTCTGCAATGTAGTCCGTCAGATGCTTTTTGTACGATATTAACTATCTTCTAAAGTATACGGCAGTGTTGAAGAAGTATTCAAAAATCATATAGTCCACACTCTGAAATGCCCTCTCACAAGCGAGGAATCCAATGTATAATGGTGAATTTCATTCAGTTGATTGTTCCACAAAGAACCTTACTATCATTACTTGGTCGGTACATAATCGATCCTTAATGAATCCAGCCTGTTGATCTCAAAATTGATCATACAACGAATCTTTTTTCAGAGTTAACACCACTTATTTGTAAAGTTTTTTTTGGTGGTGATAGTAGACTGATGCCTTTGCAGTTCTCATTCTTGCTGAAATCTTCTTACCTCGATATTTTGATTAGGGTTCTATCTTTCGAAACTGTTGGACCCTGTTCTTCATCATAATTATTGCTGAATATAAGAAGGAGTATCTTTGTTGTCACTGTGACTTCTGCTTTCAGTGGCCTTGCTGGAACATTATATGGTTCCGCTCATTTTTTGCTCTTGATCTGTTTGATAACTTCAATTGTTGGTGTGCCAACATCGATTGGTAGATCTTCACGTGCTGCACGGTTTTTAGGTGGGTTCAGTAGGATTAGTCTCCACAAAAATTTTTCAAGTGTTCAGGGGTTCATCTTCTCTATCCACCTGTCTCACTGTTTCTCAATGTTGCTCATTACTCCGCCTTCTTTGATTTTCACTGAACTTTCTGGTTTATGATAATTTCCAGCGAGCTTCTTCGTTGTATCATACAATTGTCTCATGTTTACTTCTCTTTAAACCTATTCCGCCGTCATTGCTAGTCCTACCACATATTTACGTTTGTTAACTCTGATGCTCCTCTCCACTTCCTTGTCTGCTTCTGTGAACTTAGTTTTCCCCTTTGTTTTTTCTGCTCTTGTTCGGCTGATATTGATTGCAGACTTCCTGTTACTCCTTTATTAAATTTTTTCAAGAGCACCAACTGAAATCCATTCCTTGTGATGATGCTTCTGGTGGCAAGAACCTCATGATACGTTGAAGTTGTTGCTGTCTTGATCTCATATCAGTTTTTCTCCATGGTAGTTTACTATCCATTGAGTAGATCGTGAAAGGATTAGGACTTATAACTATGGGCTATCATAAATTCGTTGAGTTCGCCAGTACCTCAAAAAATGCCGCATTAATCTTTTGTGATGTCGTTTGATCAGCTTTTCTGTACTTTTTAGTTTCGGTTTCATTTCACGTTTCACCATGTGATGATGTAAAGCTACACCGACTCCCTCCTAGCTTCTTATGCCTCCATTGTCCTTCTGAACATTTGATTGATGCATATGCGATCGACCTGGTTCTCCGTGATATAATCCGGTAAAATGCACGAATACTGAATATGCGTTTAGGCATTAGTATCTTCATATCAGCTGTTGTCCATTTTAACCTTAGTGCATATGTTTCCCATCAGAGTAGTCAAATCCTTTGTTAGGCATTTCCAAACGATTTACTGTAGCGTATCGACTTCTTCATTGTTATCGTTGGTGGGCGGATTGCAGTAGATGGCGTGCATTCCGATCCCTTCCTTCTTTGTTTTGAAGGACACTTTGATGATCCTGGGTTCACGAGAATCCCATCTTATAAATATGTTTTGTACTCCCTCTGACAGCATCAGTGCAACTCCTTGTGTGAGGCATTTTCTTTTTCATTGCCGGAGTATAACAGCAAATCCCCTGAAGCTAGTCTTTGCTGTGCAACTTGCGTCCAATGTGTTTCTCTGATTCTAAGTACCATCAGGTTGTATCTTGTCATTTCTGCATACACTTGGATGACTCTCTGGATCTCCCACAATGTACGAAAATTTGATGTACCTACATAATTGTTTGATCTGCCTGTCACAAAGGACATAGGCCTAGCAACTTCCAAAGAAATTCAAGTATCATCATAAGACGTCATAATTCTTTCAAATGAAGACCTAACTGCCCGGGCAGAGTTTAAATGGCTTGAATTAAATTTTTCGGGTTTCCACCTGTGAACTTTGGTGAACCACTGCTAATGAATACGGGATTTCATCATGCGAAGGCTTATTCTGTTCCTTCCGCGACCATTTGAACCAGATACCAAGAAAATTGTTGAAACAACGAAAAAGGAACGCTCAGTGTTAAATCAGTGGCAAAGATATTGGAAATAATTAGTTAGAAGAATTTTTCTGCTTTTCCTTCCCTTGGCAGGCTTATATCACTAAAAAGAACTTCCGATAGTCATTTTGTTCTTGGAAAATGAATTGAAGATAGGAACCTTATCTAATCGATCAACAGGCATTTTCGAATATTTAAAGATTGGCCTAGACGTTCGTCACATCGCCTTGAGTTACCGAAGCGGCTTATTTAGTCTGGGTTCATGCATGTTACTTTTGCTTGAATTGGTTTTTCTCATCATAAATATTTCGAAAGGTTGGACTAAAGTCATTAATTTTAGCTTTACTGAATAACTTTAGGAGAGAATGATTATCTACACCTGCGAGTGATAGACCCATCGACATTGCCATTTACATATCGTTTAAGTCCCGGCCAAATAGGACCTCATTTTGTACGTATATATAGTTTGTGATAACCTTCAATTATTTAAGAACACGACATTTACATCTACTTTATTAGTGGTGACGGAACCTCCTCACGCTTGTGAATTAGTGAGTAATGCCCATGAAGTTAACCGGAATATTGCCCTCATAATTCGTGGGTAGGTAGTTATTAATATCGCTTCACTATGATTAGAGGGTGTAGTTTTGTTACCAAAGCTATCAATGCTCACGTTGCCGGTGCAGTTGCTGTGATCGTTTATGATTTTAACCGCAAGGCTATTCAAACGTTTAGCATGATTCAGGATGATACTTCCAGAAGAGTGCAAATACCATGTGCGTTTATGAATGGGAAAGATGGGTATGTTATTTTTAAGTTTCTCTATTAAAGTTTGTGTAAAATTAAACCTGTGAGGTTCTAGTATATATTTGGGTTGTGTAAACAGACAGACATACAGCACAGAACTTCTTACATATGTACATCAGTTCAGGTTGCCATACCGCATTAGCACAGAGACGCAACTCTCAGTTCAAATCACATAGTGGAAGCGATAGTAAAAGTCTCAGCAGTACTGGAGAAGGTTAGGGTATAATTCAGTGAGGTAAAGTTAGAAAGAGAAAGATAGTGATGATGAGGAATTCAGAAGGTTAGAATTCCAGAGGACACAAAGAGTGAATTCACCTGTGTCATTGTAAACGATTTTAAGCCATGTCGTTCAAGGTATCTAACCATTGGTGACTTTCGTCTCGCAGACCCCAACCAGATAGCCTACATCTACCAACATGACTCAGTCCAATTGTCAGTGATTTTATGGATTTGTGCCATGTTTTGGTTTGGCCACTCCTAGCTTCCTTCCAACCTACACCACAAAAGATTGCTCGCCGATGCAGTCGGTGGTTAGGCACACGCAACACATGTCCCAACCACATCAACTGATGAAGTTTCACTACTTCATCTATTGCTCTGCCATCTCTACCTAGTACTGGTTTCCTAACGACAGCATTGCTTACTCGGTTAGATAGTGTAAACGAGGATTTTCAATCAAATAAGAGTAGTGCGGAACTGAAAAACATTGAGGATACACAGTAATCGAATAAGATATTGTGTTACTTGCTCTGTGTTGGCATTCGAGAGCTTTATGGTAAAGCTCTAGAAAAATTGGTATTATCAAAAACCACATTACGTGATGTCAGCAATTGTTTTCCTGAAGTTATTATTTCACATATTAATCAAAATTTTTTGAATTCCCTCTGTAGATATTTTTCACATGTCACAAATTACCACTCGATTCAACAGGTTCTAGTGATAAACTCCTACGGTGGCAATTAATTTTTGTGTATTGGGTCATTCACTGTAGTATGGTAGTACAAATCCTAGGCAGATTAATTTATTCTCTTTTTAATTTTAAAAGCAGGTAGCTGAGTTTAAATTTTATTTTATTTTATTTTATTTTCTTCATTTTGAAGGCATTCAATAACCACTGCTTTAGATAATTTAAATTTAACAAAAGCAGTAGTCGATTTTCCTATTAATGTAACTACAGTCCCAATATATCAGTTGCGTTTAACTCCATGGACATTATGGTGAGGAATAAAATACATTGCAAAACAAATGACCATGTGGCTATTTTCTGCATTGTCAATAAAAATGTATAATACTTTTTGTGTGGGACTCTCCATGTGTTTTCATAGAAGCAACTTTCTCGTTTAAAAATGAAAAATCCACCGGTTGTGTAAATTGCTTAACAACACACATTGTACTTGCTATTCTATCTTCAACTTTTATTATCTCTTGTTTTCTTTAGTGTAAATATAACCTCTATAATTAAACATATGTGTTAACTTATGCCAACTTACTAAAATAATAGTTATTAGCATATCAGTGGTTTTGATGTGTCTGAATTGTGGCTTCGTCCTGTTTGAGATTCACCGCATCTCGTTGTCGATGTTCACACTGTAACCGCTAAGCTATTTCGATGCAATGTGCTCTCAATCCACATATTCCAATTTCTAATTATCACATATAGTGTTGAGTACCAACAATGGAAAATTACAAACTCTTACTAATATAGTTTTCTTGCAACAACACAAGTTAATTTCTTCGAACCCTATTTTTCTCCATTACCGCTAATAAATACTTCTGCTATCTCTACCACTATGAGATTTAAACTGACAATTGCGTCTCTGTGCTAATGTGGTATGACAACCTGAACTGATGTAGGTACTAAGTTCTACCTTGTAACTAACTGACAATGCAAGTTATTACCATATACGCCCACAAACACTGGTACGGCAGTGGGTTTGTTACTTACGCAAAACTTTCAACTTTGAGTGTGTTGTGCTATTGTCTGACAATCTGATGATAGTCAAGCTATACAGTGGCACTAAGTTGGTTTGTAACCAGTGTCCATAGGCATAAAATACACTTAGCATCTATGCGCAAGTTCTGCAAGACTGACAAGTGTCTGTCCTTGCACTTTTATGTAGGCTGTTAGAAGTAATTGAAAAGTTCGTATATCCAGGTACTAACGTGAGCAGTAGTTTTAGCGTAATTGATAAGATTAGTTTACGCCAGAATGGTCTATGTCAATCTGCTCCATCTTTGACTCTGTCGTATTAATCTAGCTGTAAAGGGCAGGGTCAAAAACTTGTCGGAAATAGCGCTCATGGTCTGTGGTCGTGAAACGTGTCCTCTCAGAGTTAATATTTGTGTTCGGTCATCATTGTGTCGAAAGGATCGCTGGCACTCACTAACAACATATTAGTCGTGCGGAGGTTCAGCAGTTTGTTCAGGCACTGCGATAATCTAGTTGACGTCACGATAATGAAACATCGGCTTCAATAGGCTGGGTATTTACCATAAATCTCCTCCCAGCAACTACCACATCGTGCCTTACTTCCCAAAGGTTAACGCTGGTTAGAGAAAGAAAGGTCGTCAACGCTGTCGTTGTGTGGAAGTTAAACACGATATGGTCGATCTATTACGAGTACCTGTTCTGGATACAGGAGATAGTGCCACTTCGTGTCTTAAGAGCTTATTGGACATTTCTCACAACATAGGCAAAAAACAATCCTGCTTGAATTTCGTACTTTAGGCAGTGCATAGGAAACTTTTTTCATTTAATATAAGAAATCCTTCTTTTAGTATGTCGATTCTTTCTGATTGTATTTTTCTTAATTCAATTTCTACTGCGTGTACTACCCTTGCTTTCTCATTTTATTCATTGTCTTTGATTTGTCATCTTTCTTCTATCTCTTTTCAGTCTTATTTATCTTTTTGTAGCGGATATTTATTTTACTGTTCATTTGTACCAATTATTTATACTTAAACAGATTAAAGATGACATTTAACCTCATATATTCTATTTCTGTACTACTACATCTTTGAATTAACTAATTAGTGAATAAATTTTATTTAATATATTATGGTATTACTTTTTCGGTCAAGGTTATCATTACTGGTTATTAAGTTTTCCTGTGTGTTATAAATCTCTCTTTGTGAACCCAGCTATTCTTATTGCTTAGTAGTATTCTCTGACAACAATACACTCGACAAGTATTCAAATCAGAACATGGTTGAACAGGAAATAGAATTATATTCCAAATAGCAAGGTTAAATCGAAGTAAGAAGCCGAAGCAAAGGCGAAATAGGAACAACGTTAGTATCTTTTCAGTTTTTACATGAGAAGCTTCTGAAATGTACTCAACGTAACGACCAGGTGCTTATTGGATAGGAATTAGCCAATCAGCGCGCAGCTAACGCAGTCATGCTTTAATCCATCCATGTCCCACTAACACTGAAAATTTGAAACGTGTTAAGGTGATAATCGATGATGATGGCTCATTTCATGTACGATATTGGCTTAAAATCGATTGCAGTAATGAAGATAAATTAATCCTCTAATTTTAATCCAAAGATTACAATTCACATATTTCGTTCTGAATATTTTTCGATTTATTAGTATTCAAAGTTAGTTTCTCATAGTTATTCTTACGATCATTGTTATTAATATTTAAACTGTCACTGCCTGAATAACTCATTCATTTAATGTCATTCGCACTACAAGACTTGGGTTTGAATACCATGAGGCTCACTAGTCATCTTTACATAATATCAGCAATTATCTGGAAACCTAGATTCAGAGGTTCTTATCAATTACCTTTAACTGCCAAAAAACAGTTTCAAAGTGAAATGAAACAGTGAAATGAATTATCAATTCAAAATAAATTACCGTATCAGGAGAGTTGTGATCAAGAATTTTTCTAACTCTGGGGAATTGCTTTATCTTTGATTGGAATCGTTAGGAAGTACCAACGATCATAAAGATGACATAATTAATGAACAACGTCTCGATGGTATTTTTAGAAATGGCCGGTTAAAACACCAAACTAACCATTATGTTGGAATTCATCGCAAAGTAAACTGAATTGCTTCAGCGACTTACTAACTAAAAGTAAAATGATTCCAGAGACCATGTATGAAGGCTCGTATATCCTGGTACACCCGAGTGCGCAACGCTGTTATTAGGAAACGGGTGCTAGGTAAGAATGGAAGATCAATAGATGAAGTAGTGACACTTCATCAGTTGAGGTGGTTGGGACATGTGCTGCGTATGCCCAACCACCGACTGCCTCGACGAGCTATGTTTTGTAGTGTAGGAATAGGTTGGAAGAAAGTTAGTGGCGGCCAAACCAAAATATGGCAGAAATCCATGAAGTCATTGACGAGTGTACTGAATAATATCGGTAGTTGTCGACTACCTGGTCGGGGTCCGCGAGATGATAATAATCGATGGTTAGAGACCTTGAATGACATGGCTCAAAACCGTTTGCAATGGTGCCGGTGCATTTATTCTTTGTGTTCTCTCAAATCCTGATCTTCTGGATTCTTCAACACCTCTAGTTTTGACTTTCTAAACTTTTCTCACTGAATAATATTTCTTGAATATCTTCTAATCCTAACCTCTCCGATTACTTCTAATACCTTTACTACCTCTTCTACTATTGGATTTGAATTGACAAATATATCTCTGTGCTGATGTGGTATGGCAACATGAACTGATGTACTTACGTACGAAGATCAACGTTGCATCTGACTGACCATGTATGAAAGGATTGTTATGTTATCGAAAAGGGAATTTTTCCTTATTTTGAATGATTTCAATATATATCATGCCAACTACTCATTAGACCACTCAGAATTGAGTCAATGCCATTCTGATTTCGTTTCCAGTTGTATTTATAGTCGCAAATATATAATAGAAAGAAGTGCAAGAAAGGAGTCTCTTAGGTTTTCCTAGTATGATCCTAGAAATATCCGTTATTTTTATGAGGTACTCAATATATGGTAGACCTGAAGTGGATACCTTCAAGGCACTCAAAACAACTCACGAACATCGGATACTAATTTTGCTTCACTCTGCGGGAGTCAGTCAGTCAGATGTAAGTGAATAAGCGAGACACCTGGTAGAAGGTCTACTCCTGAAAAATTCAGATGAGGATAAGGTTATTTCTAGGAGCATGTCTATGATAAAATTAAACAAGAATGGAATGACGGACATCACTTGAAGTGAAGAATTCCGGTGACAGTTCGCCATAGGCTCTCACTCGACCAGTGGTGTTTGAGTAGAGAGCTTGTATAAGGTTAATGTACTTCTTTGGTACACCTTTCAATGACAGACACTGCCACAGAACCTCATGATCAGCAGAGTCAAATGCCGCTTTTAGGTCCAGGAAAACAACTATTGTAGGACGCCTAAACGTGTGTCTGTGTTCCATGACTTGTCGTAGTGTGAAAATGTGGTCTATACAACCACGTCCAGGTCGAAAACCAGCCTGATTTCTTCTAGTCTGCTCTTCACGAGCTTTCGTTAAGTGCCGAAGTATTATTGAGGCCAATATTTTAGATACTATATTAGTTAGACTGATTCCCCTGTGATTGTCACAAGAAGACTTTTGTCCTTTTTTATAGATTGGGACAATCAGTGATTGAGACCAGTCGGATGGGTTATTGTCATATAATGTTTTGTGATTAAATTTTGTGTACAGAAAGAAAATATAACAATGCCCTCTTTCTTATGATGAATTTAACTACTGTTAAATAGTTTTGAGTTATTACTTACCTATCCATATTTATATATCCAGAAATTCAGTAAATTTGTCTATAGGTAAATGCAAATCAATCAGCAATTCAATTGTTAGCATCTAGTCAATCATAGTCCTTTATCTCTATTTAAATCCTATTTACAAAGTAAGCTGAACTAGTTCAAAAGAGAGCCGGATAAGAAGCTTGTCCATAGTGGAGGCTTTGGTAGTTGATCACTTCAAGACCGATCTCTGTGTTTAGAAGTATTATATCCAATCTCTTAAATGCTCATGATTATAAAACCCTTTTATTTCTTATCTGTTGTTTGTCGGTAGGTATTTGCTTGTTCTTCTTAATCTTATATTCTTCAACTGAACGATTAGCTTTCATATCACCAAGTAGATAACATGTCACTAATCCATGAAGTCATTGACAACTGGACTGTGCCATGTTAGTAGGTGTAAACTATCTGGTTAGGGTTCGCGAGACGATTGTAACCGATGGTTAGAGACTTTGAATGACATGGCCCGAAATCATTTGCAGTGGCGCATGTGCATCCATTTTTTGGCTTCTCTCAAATTTTAATCTGAATTCCTTATCACTTTGTCTTTCTCGTTCTCTTCAAAGTTTATTTCACCAGATCATACTTCTCAAATAATTTCTTCGATCCCTAATCTTATGCATTACCGCTAATACTTCTACTGTCTCCACCACTATAGAATTTGAATTGAAAATTGCATCTCTATGCTAATGTGGTATGGCAACTTGAACTGACCCATGTACGCATGAAATTCTACATTATAGTTGACTAACTGACCGACTGGTCAAGTAGATAATCTTTCATAACTCGCAATTATCCCCTATTTTTATCATTATATATAAAACAGAATAATGAATTCATTTTTAAAACTCCAACAATAAATGATATCATCGGACAGAAAATTTTCTTCACTAAAACATATCTATCGTATCACAAAGCTAATTCACTTAACGTGTTATGCAATTTAGTAGAGTTTATTTTAGTATAAGGAATGATTTGAATCAAAACAATCATTCATCATAATTATTATTTTGATCGGTAAACGTTGAAAATCTTTCTCTCTTTTTGAAGAAAATAAATTTTTACTCGGTTATAATTTAATCAAATATAATATTGTTCTGTTTAAACGATCTAAAAATGGTTGGTTTTGACTATTTTTGTACTCTTCATACCCAGTAGAGTATCATGGAATATATTTTTTTGAATAAATGCAGTTTCGATAACTTCAATCTTATACCTTAATTGTCTTTAATGGATCCAGACAACCACACACAAGAACCCTAGGAAAGTTTTTTTCAACTGATCGATTAAACAAATGTAATATGAATGATAGATCAAAGATTGAATCGCTTATCGATCAACTAATCAGTTTCAAATTCCAACCGCATACATATTTCACTCGGGTAGTTTTACTAACTCCGCCAGTAGAACCTTCGGGGCTACTGCCGGTCCCAAGCCCGGATAAAGGAGGAGGGTTGGACATGGGGTTGGCAACCCCATTCCGTCAAAAACTAACTTGCCAAAAAAACGCTAACCAGAAAAAATAATTCAAACCATTTTAACTCTGCCCTGGGAGTTGGAGGAAGAATTATGACGTCGCGTGATGAAAGCCGAGTTCCCTCGGAAGTCACGGGGCTGATGCCTCTTCTGACAACCAGAGCAACCATTTTTTTAGGTACATGGAACGTTCGTACATTGTGGGAGACTGGAAGACTATTTCAAGTTGCGGCAGAAATGAAGAGATACAACCTCGAGGTGCTTGGAATCAGTGAAACACATTGGACACAAGTAGGACAACTGAGACTAGCTTCAGGGGAACTGCTGTTATACTCTGGTCATGAAGAGGAAAATGCTTCACATACACAAGGAGTTGCATTGATGCTGTCCAAACATGCACAAAAGGCACTAATAGGATGGGAATCTCACGGACCCAGGATCATTAAAGCATCCTTCAAAACAAAGAAACAGGACATTACAATGAACGTCATCCAATGTTATGCACCTACCAACGACTACAATGACGACAATAAAGATCAATTCTACGAAAGGCTGCAGTCAATCATCGACAGCTGCTCACCAAAAGATTTGACGATTCTAATGGGAGACCTAAATGCCAAGGTTGGAATGGCCAACACTGGATATGAAGACATCATGGGACGACATGGACTGGGAGAAAGAAACGAAAACGGTGAGAGATTTGCAAACCTATGTGCCTTCAACAAACTGGTCATCGGTGGCACAATATTCCCGCACAAACGCATACACAAAGCTACATGGATTTCACCGGATTACACTACTCAAAACCAGATTGATCATATCTGTATCAACAAAACGTTCAGAAGGACTATGGAGGATGTGAGAACCAGGAGAGGAGCTGATATAGCCTCAGATCACCATTTGCTAATCGCCAAAATGAAACTGAAACTAAAGAAGCACTGGACAACGGGACAGACAACATCACACAAGTTTAATACGGCCTTTCTTCGGGATACTGTAAAGCTCAACGAATTCAAGATAGCCCTCACCAATAGGTTCCAGGCCTTTCAGGATCTACACAATGGAGAGGACGCAACACTGGAGAACAGTTGGAAAGGGATTAAGGAGGCAATCACTTCAGCATGTCACGAAGTTCTGGGTCACAAGAAGTACCGTCACAAGGAATGGATCTCTGTTGATACTCTCGCAAAAATTGAAGAAAGGAGGAACAAGAAGGTAGCAATCAATGTCAGCCGAACAAGAGCGGAGAAAGTTACCGCACAAGCTGCATACACAGAAGCAAACAGGGAAGTGAAGAAGAGCATCAGAGCTAGCAACGACGGCGGAAAAGGCTGCAAGAGACGGAAACTTGAGACAATTGTACGAAACAACAAAGAAGCTCGCCGGGAACTATCGTAAACCAGAACGACCAGTGAAAAGCAAGGAAGGCAAAGTAATCAGCAACACTGAACAACAGCGAAATAGGTGGGTAGAGCACTTTAAGGAACTATTGAATCGACCAGCTCCACTGAACACACCCAACATCGAAGCAGCATCCACGGACCTCCCAATTAATATTGGCGCACCTACAATTAAGGAGATCAGTATGGCCATCAGACAAATCAAGGACGGCAAAGCAGCAGGACCAGACAACATTCCAGCAGAGGCAATGAAAGCAGATGTAGAAGCAACTGCGAAAATATTTCACATTCTCTTCAAGAAGATTTGGGATGAGGAACAAGTACCATCAGATTGGAAAGAAGGATACCTCATCAAAATACCAAAGAAAGGCGATCTCAGCAAGTGTGAGAACTACAGGGGCATCACTCTTCTTTCAATACCAGGCAGTCTTCAATAGGGTATAGTTAAACAGAATGAAGGACTTCGTAGACGCCCAACTTCGAGATCAACAGGCCGGATTTCGTAGGAATCGATAGTGTACGGACCAAATTGCTACATTACGGATCATTGTGGAACAATCGATTGAATGGAACTCACCACTATACATCAACTTCATCGACTACGAGAATGCATTCGATAGTGTGGGTAGGAAAACGCTATGGAGGCTTCTTCGAAACTACGGGGTGCCTGAGAAAATAGTTAACATCATACGGAACTCTTATGATGGATTCAACTGCAAAATCGTGCACGGAGGTCAGCTGACAAACTCGTTTGAGGTGAAGACCGGTGTCAGGCAAGGTTGCTTACTCTCACCCTTTCTCTTTCTCCTGGTCATCGACTGGATTATGAAAACGTCAACATCTGGAGGGAAGCACGGTATCAACTGGACAGTTAGGACGCAGCTGGACGATCTGGACTTCGCAGATGACTTGGCTCTTCTATCGCACACTCAACAACAAATGCAGGAGAAGACGACCAGTGTAGCAGCAGCCTCTGCAGCAATAGGTCTCAACATACATAAAGGAAAAAGCAAAATTCTCCGATGCAACACAACATGCACCAACCAAATCACTCTTGATGGAGATGCCTTGGAGGACGTTAACACCTTTACATATCTGGGCAGCATCATCGACAACCAAGGTGGATCTGATGTGAGGGCACGGATTGGCAAAGCAAGGGCTGCATTTCTACAGTTGAAAAATATCTGGAACTCCAAACAACTTTCAACCAAAACGAAAATAAGGATTTTCAATACAAATGTCAAGACAGTTCTACTGTATGGAGCGGAAACATGGAGAACTACCAAAGCCATCATCCAGAAGATACAAGTGTTTATTAACAGCTGTCGACGCAAAATACTTCGGATTCGTTGGCCAGACACCATCAGCAACAACGAACTGTGGGAGAGAACAAGTCAGATTCCAGTGGAGGAGGAAATCAGGAAGAAGCGGTGGAAGTGGATAGGACACACACTACGAAAATCACCTAACTGCGTCACGAGACAAGCCCTCACATGGAACCCTCAAGGCAAAAGGAAAAGAGGAAGGCCAAGGAACACATTACGCCGAGAAATAGAGAAACATATGAGAGGAATGAACAAAAATTGGACGGAATTGGAGCGGGAAGCCCAGGACAGAGTTGGTTGGAGAAAACTGGTGGGCGGCCTATGCTCCATTGGGGGTAACAGGCGTAAGTAAGTAAGTAAGTAAAGTAATTGTTCGCTTTATGGAGTTTAACATAACTGTGAAATTAACTAGTAGGATAAGTAGGATACACACTAGACTAATATATATTATATTCACATTTGCATAAGAATTTCATAGTTGAAACTTTTACTCAAATCACAAATCAAATCACACTTTCGAAAAGAGATTAATTAGTCAAATAAGAAATAAATCAACTATTCACAACTAGTTAGTATACAAACAACATACACCAGGTTCTCTTGTTTCACATTGATTGATCCTCGACTAATATTGTGCTACAGTTAGGAAGGAAAGCAATACATTTTTATATAGATTAAAATAATTGAATTCATCATATTACACACAATGATATATATCACAAAACTAACTCCAGATTTAATAACAGAGTGAAACTTCTGAGAAGGGAGAGATGAATGACACAATGACACAATAAAAGCTTTGGATTCCTCTACTGAATACTGTTACACAAAGCATAAGTGTAGACTTGTTTGGAAAACGAAAATCCTTACATAAACAACATTGAGTATTCATGGTATTTTCATAGCTGTTTTTATTGACAAACACTATGAACAAAATCAACAATTTTACATCAAATTGTACTTTATCTATTCCTTGAAATAAAAATCAAGAATGTATCAGCTTCATCTCTTTCTGTATATAAGTAGATTTATCTATTTGCATATTTAAGTCATCCCATAAAAAGTCAAGCAGTTTTTTTATCGGTATCACAAAGACCATATAATGTCAAGTAAATAACCAAGTTCCACTTTTATGATTTCTTGAGAAAAACTGAATACGTTAACATTATCAAAGTGAAGAGTTTTTGGCTTTTGAAATATGTTGTATTCTTTGAATAGATCAAGCACACTAGTATATGTTTTCTGAATAAGTTCTAAAAATTCCTTGCTAATACAGAACTAGAACAGCTAAAAAAAGATGAGATCCAATTTTTTTGTAAAATAGTTTAAACAATGTACAATCAACAAAAAGTGAAGACATTCAAAGACTGAAAAAATGTGAACATTCAAAATGTACACACATTTAAGCCTGAAATTATGTAAACTTACAATTGTAGTGCATAATTCTTCAAATTTTTCTTCAAAACCATATTTTCCTGAGAAATCTATGCAATGAGTTTCACCTATCATGAAACTCAACCAACCGTCTGGAACAAAACTTGGTTCAACATGCAGAAATATAATTGGTTTCTTTAGTTTTTGAGTGTATTCCGCTTCTATGAAATAAAGTGTGGTGTAAAATAAAAGGGAACAAAAGGTTGACAGTACAAGATTGGCTTACACTGCTTAAAATATTTCTAATAACGAAGTCAATCAATAGCAACGTAGAACTTCGTACATACATACCTATATTAGTTTATGTTGCCATACAATATACCAAGATATTATTCAAGAAGTATGATTCAGTGAAATAAGTTTAGAAAGACAAAAGTAGAGGTGTTGAAAAATCCAGAAGATTAGGTTTTGACAGAACACAAAGAATAAATGCACCTACACCATTACTAACGGTTTTGAGCCATGTCATTCAGGGTCTCTAACCATCGATTATTATCATCTCGCGGACCCCAACCAGGTAGTCGACACCTACCGACATGACTCAGTCCACTTGTCAGTGACTTGCGAAGGAACTCGGCTTTCATCATGAAACGTCATAATTCTCCTAAATGAAGACCTTCTAACTCCCAGAGCAGAGTTTATTTGGTTCGAATCCTTTTTTGCTTGTTAGCGTTTTTTGGCAAGTTCGTTTTTTCCAGTATGGAGTCGCCAACCCACATCTCAAACCCTCCTCCTTTGCATACACTTGGGACCGGCACAAGCCCCGAAGGGTCTACAAGCGGAGTTAGCAATAACGAAGTCGTGATTCGATAAAAGAAAATGGCAAAACAACAAACAGTAAAATTCATAAATAACACAAAGCTCAAAATAAGAAATCTATACGCATGTATTTAGTCAATTAGAATGTTTCGGATAAAAAACCCGTTTGGTTATAATTACAATTCATCTTTAATGTGCTTAGGAATATATATATATATATATATATATATATATATATATATATATATATATATATATATATATAGCATGCTTTCAGCATAAGCCGCGACATAGTTCGATAGTTAAGACAAATATGTAACTAGTTTTAGTGCTCTTCGGCCGGACATTCAAAAAACTAATTGAAATCAATCTAGATGTATACGAACGCTTAGGCAGTTTACCATTTAAATTTGTTACTGGAAAAATGTTTGTGTTAGCTAGAGATCCTTCATCCATTTCAAACATTGCAAATCGTGTTGTGTTACATTAAAAATTAAACAATTATGACAAATGTTCACTAATAGTAACAAGTATATACTGCCACGATGAGCAATATTTTGTGGTGAAGAAGTAGGCTGGGAGAATCCTAGGGGCGGCCAGACCAAAACATGGCAGAAATGCATGAAGTCATTGACAAGTGGACTGAATCATGTCGGTAGGTGTCGACTACCTGGTTGGGGTCCGCGAGATGATAATAATCGATGGTTAGAGACCCTGAATAACATGGCTCAAAACCGTTTGCAATGGTGCAGGTGCATTTATTCTTTGTGTTCTGTCAAATCTTAATCTTCTAGATTCTTCAACACCTCTACTTTTGTTTTTCTAAACTTATCTCACTGAATCATACTTCTTGAATAATATCTTCTAATCCTAACCTCTCCAACTACTACTAATACCTTTACTACGTTTACTATTACGGGATTTGAACCGACAGTTACATCTCTGTGCTAATGTGGTATAGCAACATGAACTGATGTACATACGTACGAAGTTCTACGTTGCATCTGACTGACTGACACACTACTACTAGTACTACTGTGGTGAGCAATGTGTTCTTAGATTTCGTAATTTACTCGTTCAGACAATCGTTACTAAATAAAACCTGAAGGTTTATGTGAATCAGAAGGTAAACCAGAAGGGATGAATACGTTTATTTCCGAACACCACAAATAGAACAGCAGACCACAGGCATGAAATCGATATGTGAGTGCCGGAAGGTAAGCAAGCAAGCGAATTAGCGAATGAATCAATTAGATCAAAATGTTCATACATATACATAGTAAGATATCTGAGTCATCGAGATATTCAAGAGAATAGGATGAATACGCACGTAGGCGGTAAGCAATAGTCAGTCGTACCAGGTCATACAAACTAGACAATAATAAAAACAAACGGTACATATAGGTTGTTGCTATACAAACGACTTGGTTAAATAAATTAATCGAACGACTTAACCAAATCAAATATAAGCGAACTCAAATGTATGTAGAGACACTACACTACTACTACTAGTACTACGACTACTGATATTACCAAGTTGCTTACATTCAAAGAGGTTTCAAATATGTGACCTAAGACTGAGAAATTGAAGGTTCCAGCCCACTAGGCCGTAATTTCGTTCTCATTAACAAATTGAATAGATAACTTATAAACATATTTTATCAAATACGAAATTGATTTTGTGCTAACCTGCTTTGGCATATTCACTATCTTGATATGGTTTAGAAAAAATTATCAATACAACTGCAGAATTCTGTATAATAGCATTTGCCATCGCATCGAAAATTTTAACATCATGAACCGTACGGTCTTTGTCAACCCAAATCTGTGAAAAGATAATTAAAGATTACTGAAGACTACATGTATAAATATACAAATCAATGAATTCATGTGGGCTGGGATTCTGCCCTGGCACCCAAACCAAAGCACGTGATTTTGTTAGGAAGCCAATACCGGAGTATTTGAATTAGTGGCCTAAACAGAGTATCAATTTGTTATGAGATGCAGTCCAATGGTGGCCGGTGACCAACAGCAGGTTTATATGCCATTTATTCCTTCAGGATTCTGGAACCCATTCGCATCACTAGTTAGAAATCGCCGTTTTCCAACGGCCAAAAACGGATTCTCCGTATCCATAGCTGTTCGACAGAATAACAACATTTAGAAGGCTGTGTTATGTTGCTAATGGTCATTCTTACCACCGAATCGCTCATCAATAAGACGATATTATCTTTTCATAAGTAAGTATCAATTTTATTTCAAACGTACACACAATAAGTCGTATGGTCAATACCATTTGGTATGTGCATACGAGAATTTTCTCTTGAATATCTCAACTTGTTTTCAGCAGTAATACTGAATGTAAGGCTTGACTCCAACATTTGTAGTGAAAATAGCTTTAAATTATTATAGTTAGCGAGTGACACTTTTGATTCATGTTGCTTTCGAAAAACAAATGACATGCATAGTTTAAATCTTCTATCACATATAAAAAAGACTAAAATATATCTTGTTATTTAGCTACTTTCATCGGTATTTTTCTTTGTATTTCCAAAAACAATATAGTTCTGTGGTCATAAGACCATTTAACTAAGTTTCGGAATAATCACTCAGTTACAATCAGGTAATATATGATTATATAACCAAGACTTATGAATTTCAACATGTCTACTCAGCGCAATCTGATCTCATTGCATAATATTTTTTTTTAAATCACCTCATCCGAGATTCGATCGTGTTTAGATATGTGATTGGAGTGAATTATCAACGGAAAATACTTCAGTGAGAAAATGTTTAAAAAATCGGGAATTTCAAAATAAAACTGATATATATATATATATACCTTGAAATCTTCCTTTTCCAGTCTTTCTTTAATCTTCATTGCCATTTCTTGATTTGCATGATTGTAGCTAATCATAATATGACCATTTAATTGAGGAGATTTATTTTTTTTCGCTTCACATAAGTGAACTTCTAGAAAACAATAGCCATAATATTAATTTAAATACATACTATTAAGAAATCAGATTTACAAAAGACGCCGATATCAAAATCTTGCATATAATTATCACTTATGATAGTTCATTTAGTTTATAAAAGCTATATCATTTGCTTATTGGCAACTAATTTCAAAAGGTGATTGCCATAGTCTTAGTGACAAGTCGTGATCACTGGAATTGTGTGTGAAGTAGTTCCTCACCAATAAAAATAGATGATAATTTCGCAATATCATGGATAGGCTGTGATCTAAAGATTAAACTGTAACTGCAAGAACTGTAAGTGCTAGGTACAAACCTCAAGCAGAGTTGTGAATAGGAACTAGTGAGTCCCATACTAGATGTCCAAACAACTTTTAATACTGTGAAATTCGATAGCGTAAAAACAGCTATTATTAAGTTCGTCTCTATGAAAACACTCTCATATTAGCCAATTGTGTGATCGTCACAGGGAAATATAGATAACTTTCTCTTCTCCTTCCTAGCTCCGCTTAATCCATAGAGTAAAAGTCACGTTCTAACAAAAGGATTATTAGGAAACATCAACAAATAATGCATATTAGGCGGAGAGTTGTGATACATAAATGTATGTAAATGTCTTTGGAACTAATGTAATAAAAGAGCGTTCTAAAACATAGACGAGAAGATAAGAAGTTCAAGTCTTTAAAAAAGGTAAATACTGAAGTCATCGTATGTTTCACAGATGGAGGTCCGATTGAAAATTAAAATATGAATTTCAAAATAGCAAATACCAAAGCTATTTTCAGAGATTTAGCCAAAACCGAATCATAACATAAAAGCGACAACTTCAAACTAAACAGACTTCACACTACACTAGCCAGACTGAAAGTCTGTGGTTGGCTTATTTTGGAGGCAAATTCTTGAAATGGAAATTCGAGGATTGAATAAACTGTGAAATTTAACTTATACCCTACTGCAAGAAGCGCAAAGATGGTTTGTTATGTAGCGTATGTGGCTTTTAATACCAAGATATGGTTGTATGATTCATCCTGGATTTGAGACAGACTTGAGCAACTCAGGTTATGACACTAGATAGATTTGACCATCTTAATAACTCTATCATTTCATAGGAAATTGTGACTTTCACGATAAACACGCCCCCAAAATTCTACACGTATGCGCCTGGTACGTCTGTCATTCGTTTTGTCCGATGACTGTCTCTTTGTTACACTATGGATTATCTACTTCCAGCTATATTAACGCTTGTCATGCGGCAGTATAGAGGGGTTGGTACGTCTCTCTTCTCTACATCGCTTTATTTTCCCGCTTCCTATTTTTGCTCGTCAGCGTAAATAATTTCACAAAATAAACTCATTCAACTGAAACCGTATTCTACCTCTAATCACCGTCGTCCCACAAACAGGGTTATTATAAGTGTAATATGCGAAATGAAATGAAAGATTTACTTCTTGACATATTTAATCACTCGTTTAAAATCGGAGTCAGATAACAAGCCTTTGAATACACACATTAGTCACAAGAAATCGTTGTTCTGTCTGATGATATGTAAAAGTAGGATTTAAAAAGCTACTGAATTAACGTCTTCTTACATACCTACGTCATTGGTTTCATGATCAGGCAGTGGATATAGCAGTGAATGTTCATCATCACTATAACTTCCAGAAAATGTTCTAACTTCATCTTCTATTTCAGTTACACTGTTGCAAAATACCATTGCAAGTAACTTCATTTCCATGATGGCATCATCATTCGAAATTTCAGAGGATAAAATGCGTATAGCCAATGATATGTCATCTGTCTCATGAAATAGAGATTTAGGCAACGCCTTCAAGCGCCTCGCAACATCCCGACGTTGGACAAATGCATTTCTGTTCTCACTGTTCAAAGCCAGAATACGTAGCACTGGATTTTAGTGGGAAAAAAAGAATATTATTTATGATGCATTTGTAACAGAAAGATTCTGATGAGATATAAGAATATGTGTAACTGAAATAATCGATAGATTTCCGTTAAACGATTCGTATAATGATAACATCTTATCATGAGAGCAGTCGAATTGGAAAGATTTTCATGTAGTGCTAGAAAATGTCCGTAAAAACTTGAAGCCAATGAACTACTACTTTCTTTCAAACAAAGTAGCAGGTTCCAATGATATTTATTAAATAATATTTGGGCCGTTCATATGATTTCTTGGTTGAGTTTATACATTAATTAGTATTTATTACCTGACGAATATTGTTAATTTTTATTGAATATTTTTATTTCATATCATTACAGGCAGTAAAAAATCTCTTCTTTTGATTAGTCTCTTATTTTTGTTAAAATGCAACAGTTTAATTCGAGCTTTACATCCACAACACAAATAGGCTCATAGCCATTACACACAGACATTTCTACTTTACATTGAACGTTCCTAACAATGAACATTGGTTAAATTATCTCAATGTTAAGTTTCAGCTCAGTTATTTTAAGAACTCGGTCATAAGACTGACACCTTTTGATACTAAGACAGGTCCGAATGTCGACAATATAAAGTTCCACAATCGCACGCAAAGGTTTATAAGGAATTACAAGTATGCATGTTCTCCACAATGGCGTTTGGCAAACAATTATACTGGTTTAAATATGTCAGTTAGACGTTCCTCACCGTTTTGTTTTCATATTTTCCCCGAATATATGCTTACCAGTCATTGTGGACTTATGACGACAACTACAAAGTCAGCCGTGCTTAAGATGGTTGAGAAATTTTGTAGCTCAGGTGGATGATCATGGTTGAGTTTCATTCTCTGAGCTAGATATTTCGGTGGAGCTTTCACTGTTCTTTTTCTACATCAGCATAAGCTTCAGGTAGAATGGTAGTATTCGAATTTCTCCAACTGTGACTCGCAACTTGGCCTGTTGACCTCGATTTTGATTGGTTGTTATTGACCTTTACTCCGTCGTTGTTTCCACCTTAATTTGTATCTTATTTTGCTGAAGAACAATCAAAGCTCAACGACCGATACATCCAGCTCAGAGAATGAAACTTCATCATAATCAACTCTACTTAATTCATTATGTAAAATAGATGAAGCATTAAACGCTCTCTGATTGAACTCATACAATCTTCTAGACACATCTATCGGCAATCGAAAACGAAAGGTTAGTTCATCTCGGTGAATTTTGATAATTCTTTGAATAAATAAATTTCCGTAAATTCGTCTTTAACAATTCGAAGAAGGATGAAAATTGAACATAGACTAACAGAAAATCTACTAAACGATTAGAATCAGTCGTAAATTGTTATTAACGTAGGATCTGATATAAGCGTCATACACTAGATTAACACAATAGGATGAAATTAATAAGATTAAAAGCAAATGAATTGAAATAATAATATCAATAGTGATGGAAAACCAAACATAGAGATCAGTCATTCAGCTACAACTCAGAACTTCGTACGTACATTCATCAGTTCAAGTTGCTATATCGCTTTAGCACAGAGACGAAACTGTCAGTTCAAATCCCATAGTGGTGGAGATAATAGAACAATTAGTGTTGATGGAGAATATTGAGGATCGAACATACTTCAGAAAAAAAATAGATGGAACCGAAGAATTAAATATGTTGAATAATAATAAGCCTAAGATGTATATGAAGAGAATAGATAAATGAGATTAGACCAATACGACCTATGTTGAACTATGGAAACAAAGTAAATGCTAAAGGAAATGGAACCAATTAACATTAAACAGTTGATTAGACTTGTCAAGAAGACCGACTAAGAATTAGCGCTGGAGAAAGACCAATTACTAATCTGATCTCATACTAAGTGACTACAATGAGGAAGGAGGCATTTCGAGGAAGAACCAACAGGTCCTGAACTACTCTTCAGTCACGTATAATATCATAACAATATTGTTGGGAGACACCTGATTTGCAGATCGTAGTATTAGTTAGCCTTTGAAACAACTAAAACAGATCGAGTAACTGGCCCAGATAGACTTATTCCAGATGTCTTGAGGTATGATAATTCAGTAAGGCTAATTTAAATAACTGAGATATATACATTCTGAAGGTTGTATCTGACTCCAAATGACTGTCAGTGGCTGTTGGCGATAAATATCTCAATAAGAGGAAACTCTCTTGTGATGAACATATAAAAGCGAACACGCCGGGCTTTCAACGAACCCTGGTTCCATAATCCTCTAACATTTATTTGGAGATGTAGAAAAACAAACCTGGTAAACCAGAATCCAAACTAAAACTAATTAATCAACTACTTGTCTATGCTAGAGACCTTTAATACGTGAACATTCTAATGGAAAACCTTTTCAAAACTATTCTACTAATATCACCATAGATTTGTTCATATTTATTAGAAAGCATAGGTAGTACTGAAAGGTCTAATTGAGTAGAGTAAACTGCTACTCATTCAACAGAGTTGCTGATGGTTGCTGGTTACGATCAACCTGTAGGAAAGGTAGATATAAGTTTAGTTCAGTAATAATATTTTTTCAGTGTATATCTACTCAAACGGTATCTTTAACGAGCTCAACGTTGTGTACCCCGGCTTACTTATCCGTTTTGTTTCTGCCACTCCAACTAATGTAGTGCTGAGCTAGTTTTTCACAATATATATCACCGCTCCACATTATATCTCATGTTTTCACTAAGCGCAAAATGTATACTTAAAACAGCGGAAATTAATAATTTGAAAATAACATACCTTTATTAAATTGAAAGGCATTAAACAAGTCACGATTTTCGATCCTTTCGTCCACAAAATTATCGAACCAGTCCAAGAATAATTCAATGGACTCTTCCTCTAGATGAAGTTGACTGACTTCAGTGTAAGTGAATGTTAAAAAAATGATTATGGCTAACTAGAAAATAAAACATTAACTGGAAATAACTCCGCAAACCTTAATTTTCTGATCTTGGCAAGTATAACGAGTTAAAATATTACGCAGACCATAGTTTCTAAGTCTTTCTGTAATGAATTCGTTTTCATAAAATAGCGCAGTATTTAATCCAGAAATAATGAAATATGTCAGTGATCGAACAAGATGCTAAATTATATGCTAGAAAGAAAAGATTTCAAACCTCAGATATTTTCATTGTTTTGGTGGCATTTAATATACGCCGTACCTCCGTTAAATACACATCGGATTTAATCAGTTTCTGTGTGAACATTATACTAACGGTCATATAATTCGACAGGGATTGTTGAAATTCGATTAGTTTAAGGATCCATTTATTAACAGGAAGTGGATTCAATGTAAAATAACTTAAAGGAATAGCCATTCTTCCCAATTCACGATAAATTGAAACGAGATTTACCAAAACTGATGATTTTGACAATATATCTACGGCAACTTTTGTACGATATTTTGTCGAATCAATTGATCTATTATCAAGGTTTTGACTAAGAAGAAATGATCGCAACGATTCTCCGAATTCCTCAGTACCAAATTTTCTAGAATTGGTCAGCCGTACTAGCTCATTAATGTTTGTACTTGTTTCCTTAAATAGTTCATCGAAATCATCCACACTCATTTTTCTTAACTATCTAAAGTGAAAGAGTTGAAAAAACGTCTTTACAAATGTTTAGGTAAAATTAAACTTTAAACTAGGATCACTTATCAATTGGGTTTGAAAAAGTAGATTAAGGTTGTTTTATCTTTATAAAAAGTTGTATTAAACAAGCACAGTTTTCACCTTTACATTCATTGATGCTCCAGAATTTATAGAATTTACTTCTTATTATTTGCGTAAAAAATATTTACATTGGAGGGAGAAAATACTATCAGAAAAGAAAATCTGTCAAAATAGGACACAGAATGTATGCAGTAAGCCAGTCATGAATTTCGAACATGGCATGAGTATGAATTGTGTTCAACCTGCCGCATCCCACATCAGGAAATCAGAATGATGAGAAGCATAAAGTGAAAGATAATGTAGAAGACAATAAAAATCTAAATATGAAAAGTACATTTCAAAGGAAATAAATGACATTGAAGGAGAAAATATCTGAAACGACAATAAACTTAAGATTAGAGCAATGTAAAGGTAGAATTAAAATAGTGACTTAGACCAGCAGTTTATGGTTTGATGGACAGATATTAAGTGTTGGTTAACGTTACTCTAGCTTTTATCCACCTGGCCCTCATATCACATAACACTACTCCAAGGGTAACGAACGTAAGTTGAGCTTTGAGAAATCTTGTCGAGATTTCATCGAATTCTAACCACCAAAATCAGTTAGACTACCAAGACAGATCGGATGGCTGATGGATTCAAGTATTTCAGTCCCTTCAGTCAAAATAGGTGTGAATACAGTTAGTAACCCATAAACAGAGTAGAATCTCACACAATGTACATCGGTTCAAGTTTTCACACCACATTACACAGTGCGATAAAATTCTTTTCAGAAATTTAATATTAGTAAACAGAAACAAACCCGTAGTTGTAGTAAAAAAGTTATGTGTGGAAGGAAAAGTAAAAACCGTGTAAGAGGGTATCCGGATTCATGAAGGAAAAGTAAGGTGAAACAAAAGAACTCCGCATCTTATCAGGTTCTTTTGATAAGAGTTATCTCTGAAAATCGGATGAATAATGTGTTATCTTCAAACTATCTTATGCTACACTAGAACCTATGTTGAAGGAATAATAACTCTAAAAACTAATTTTCAGTTTACTATATCTATTCACATTATGCAATTATTAAGACAGACTACTATGTAGATTCATTCCTTCTATTATAAGCTTTCATTATACTCAATAAGTATTGTTATAGGATTTGCTATTTCCATTTTGTCTCTGGTCAACTATTTACAGCCTCTTTATTCATAGCTATTTTGTGGCTTGTTATTTTTTCATTAGTTTATGGTGCGATGCAATCTAGTCTGATTGCATATGAACGGCATGTGTTTGAAATTTAAAAACGACACACTCTGGTCTCTAACTTCTGGACTCAAGGCATCGTATAAAGCTGGCGAATTGTAGACGAATGGGAAATTAGCTATTAACATGGCATGTAATTGATTAAATCAGAGACCCTAAGCCATGGAGTGCATAATGAACGCAAAATAAACCAAACTAGAGTGAGGATTCTGATTAGTGGCTTTTCATTTGATACTTGTGACAAGATATAACACCTTCAGATTTTCGAGGGTCGGAAATTATGCCTACCCCCAATAAGCATTGGATATTCTACGTCAGCCTTTCATTTAGGTTGTCAGTGAGTAGTAGGAAGCTGGACAGCAATTACAGTTCGAAACAATTACTCCCTTTTATAAAATTTAATGGAAAATTGTATATATAGATCATTTTTAGTAACCTCAAATCTACTCTGGTATTCTTTAAGCCATCTCACAGTCCACGTTGATGTAAAAATTTCCTAATCTTTACATACTAAGATAATTTTTTTGTGTCTATCATTTACAATTATCACCGTGTGTTCAATTGAATTTCTATTTAATTGACCTTCACAAAATGCCGTAACAAACATGTGTGACCAGGTTGTTCGAAATGTATAGCGCAAATACATCATTTTTCAGATTTACGTCTTCTCATTGTTCTATCAAAATTATAATTTGAATGAAATGTTCCTTAAAATGTACTACCCAGACGTTTAGTCTCTTGTTCTGAGAGTAAATAGCTATGTTTTGTGGTGTAGGAGTAGGTTGGAAGAAAGGGGCGGCCACACAAAAACATAGCAGAAATTATGAAATCATTAACAAATGGACTGAGTCATGTTGGTAGATGTAGGCTACGTGATTGAGGTCCGCGAGGCGAAAGTCACCGATGGTTAGAGACCTTGAACGACATGGCTCAAAGTCGTTTGCAATGGCGCAGGTGCATCCACTTCGTGTTCTCTCAAATTCTAACCTTCTGAATTCATTATCTTTATCTCTCTTTTTCTAACTTTATCTCATTGAATCATACTTCTCGAATCATAACTTCGAACCCTAATCTCCAATATTGCTAATACTTCTACTATCACTACCACTATTGGATTTGAACTGACAGATGAGTTCCTGTGTTGATGCGGTATGGCAACCTTAACTGATGTACGTAGACATGAAGTTCTATATTGTATCAGTCTGTCTGACAGTAAATAAAGTTTCGCTAACATTTAGCCAATAGACCCATTTCTCTGATCAGTTTAAGTAGCAAATCTGTGTTATCAACCTTCATTGTCCTTCCCACACACTACCGCTGGCAATAATTAAACGGACGTTTCATTAAATTGAACTTAAGGCTTTAAAGATTTAGTGATTCGCCTAAACTTTTGGTTCGAATCGCTAAAAGACGTCGACAACGTTATTACAACAGGCCAAAATTCCCGGAGAATTACTTTAGAGTGAATATCCATATGATTAGCTAAGTGCCTAGGTAGTTCGACTTTAAACTTACTCTTAGATTTATTTCATCTTAAAAATGAACTCGAAGAGGTCTGTGTGCTGAATTTCTTTTCTTTCAGTAGGGCACAGGCAAGTTTCCACGCAATAGTATTCAAGGATATTCGAATCTTGCTAATTATGGCTGACAGTAATACCTGTCAGTGTTTATCGATATATGACGTTTTGACTTAGACTGTATACTTGGTTGCGTTTACAAAGTTTCAAGTGTTCTGAGCTCTCTTTTGAGAGAGATTCCGTTTTCTGAAGACGTTGCAGTCTGCTCTGATTCCACTGTGAGTGATCCACCTTAATTTCGTACTTTTACTTCGACTTAACCCTGTCATGAATAATCATATATAAATGCATACAGTATATCCGAAGTTGCGATTACAGATGCGATGGTTTCAAAATCATTCCCGCTTTTGATTAGTCGATCCAATGTCTTATGTAAACGTGATGTCAATATAAGATTTTAAATTTGAAAGTGTTTATAATAATTTCAAGTGGTTTCAGCAGATATAAGCATCTGCTAACTTAAGTCTTAAAACCAATTATCTTCCACTGAACCAGGAGAGGTATATGTGCAGAGAACGAATAAGGAACCCTGCGTATCTCTACACACAAAGCCTTTATCATACGACGGTGTACAAATGATTGTCGACATGCATCTAATACCGAATGGTTTTCCTCGTTTTCAATTGACCTCCGTCCAAAGCATCACTAGAAGACATTGTTAGGTCTTCAAGCTCATAGAGACTCAATCGCACTAACTTTTAAAAATTTTAAATTAGATCAACTGAATAACTGAAATTATATCCGCCCGAATGGATGTTAGGTACACCCATTATGTCAATGGTTGAAACACTGATGTATAACAGAGCTCAGGTATTAAGTTTTCAACATTCATTTACAAGGAACTCAGGATGGAACTTTCAAAGATTGGACAATTAGGACTGACTGTGCGTGTTAGAGATAGAACAAGATGATTACCAGTTACTTTTGTTACTAATAGCCGGAGATGAAAACGTAAGGACCGAAATCGGGTAAACCGTCTTTATGTGCTCTAATTGACATAGAACAACGGTTTTTATGAAGTATATTATTAGGAATAAGTACCACACGACAAAAAAATCTTGAGGAAAATTCCATTAATTCGCACATAGGAGAAATCTCATAATTAAGGAACTAAAAGTCTGCCGTACGTAAAATGATGTGCTTGAATTACTCCAAATATTATTCAAAAACTTCAAATTTAGAAAATCTAAATGAGTAATTACTATTTATATATTTATAAGTCATCCAATCGCCTTCCGAATTACAAAAACTACCTACAACTCCTCATGCATTAAATGTTCGTTAAAAATTGGTTCATGTTCCTTGGAAGTTCATAACCAGTTATTCACGTATAAAATATATTTACCGTTAATCTTTCATTATATGTACATATTAGTTGTGGAGATTAACAAACTCAAACATCCATAATTAAATTTGAAGTCACGATTAAGAAACTGATCTCGAGATTAATTGAGTGAGAGTTAAGCAAATATACACATCTCAACAGTTAGGTCATCAAAGTTACAAATCCACTAACCTTTCTGTAGTTTTGAATTATTTTCCCACCAAATCTTAGCGCGCTGTGGAACCTTCGTTAAGAATGTGTTAAAAAACTTTCAATGTACAATATTGTTACCAGGCTTCAACATCCTCCGTACGGCTCTGTATGTTGAATGTGATCCAATCAACACAGTTAAGTCACTCAGCTGAAGTTATCCTGGTTATTGTGACACTTGACTGAAAGTTGGGTTTGCATAGGAATAAATGATTCTTCGTTCCTCAGAGATCGATTGATCAGAAGTTCGGGCTACCAAATTTCTTGACAGAAAACTGATTATTGAAATTGCAAAATTATGATGTTGAGGGGCGTAGAAAATATAAATGAAGAAAGACAAATATGATTACAAAGAAGTAAATCCAATATCCAGTAGATCTCAAAATGAAGTTGGAACTGACGTCACCAGTTTCACTGGGTGCATCGCAGATGATGGCGCTCTGTCACTCATCCACTCTGAATCAGCCATCCATTAATAATAATAATAATAATAATAATAATTTATTCTCAAATAACAAACATGTTACAAGAGACATGCCAAT